TCCTCCCAGCTTTGCTGGCTCTTTTCTTCTCTGCCTGGGGACTGCAAAGGAATTTTGTACCAGCCCCCATCCGTGGTCTCATCACACATCCATGAGGGTGACGGGTAGGAAGAAATTACAATTTGGCAAAGAGTTTTTAAAAATGCAAACACGGGAACAGTGGCATGTGGTGAGAATGCGGACTTAGTGTTTGACTACAAAATGAAATAGAAAGAAAAGAAACAGTGATCAGAAAGGACAAGCTTCAGGAGTTCTGATGGCAGTTTTGCGGAACACCTGGTAATAGGAGAACAGTGTCCCACTGGGGCATGAGAGCGTACCAGCGTTGACTACACACTTGCTGAGGCCATAGGCAGTGAATGCTGAAGTGGGCACACTCTGACTGGGTGCAGAGGAATACATTTGTGTAAGAATCTATAAAGCCTTACCTGCACTTCARGTTCTGGCCTCTGGACCATAGTGCATAGGGAGAAACCAAGGTCACAGAAATATTTGGACAGGAAGTTGTTAAATGCTGTTCAAAGTCATGCCTTTGAAATACCTATGACAATATAACTAGATATTTTGATTTAGGTTCAGTGCCAATCTGAATCTCAAAACACAAACTAGATTAATAAATTCCTGTCAATTTAATTCAATTGAATTCYTGGAAGTCACTTTGACCTGTGGTCATGGAAGCTACTCAGGAATTAATCTAAGTTAATCCACTCAGGAATTCTGTATACTAACAGGCTGGTTTCACAACCAGAGCACTATTTTAGTGACTATCATTAACAGGGTCTATCTGAGGGGTCAGCTCACTTTTTCTGCAGAGGGTCAGATGGTAAATATTTTATGATCTTAGTCACAATTTACTTAACTGTAACTGGAACATGAAGAGTCACATKTAAACAAATGGGTATAGCTGTGTTCTAATAAATGTGATTTATCAAAAACAAGCAGTTGGTAGGATGTGGCCCATGGTCGATAATCAGGGGACCCCTGCCTCATGTGGATGCTGACTCCTGGTGTTCGGCAAGATATTACCATTCATGAAGACTCCAATGTGATAACCACTCCTGAAGGTGACTGGTTGCAGTGGCTAGCAATAATATCTGAATTAAAACCAAAGATGCCTTTGAAATAAAATAGGAAGATGGTAGATGGTCCAGGATGAGTTTTCAGTTGAGAGCTGAAGTAAATAGATATTCTGAGGATATGCATTTTACAGTGAAATTATGGGATGCCAATACACGGTGCAGAAAGTGGCTGCTATTTTCCTAGGTCTTCACATTTGTCATTTAGACCAACCTAGTTTGAGGATTCTTCATCCATTCACTGAAGGGCAAGTGTAACAGCCATTGCTATGTTTACTGAGATGAAATKCAACTTTGGCCACGTTAGTTACATCAAGAAATTAAAGAGAACAAATATAGAGTTYCTATAAATTCCAATTTTTAACATTTCTTTTCCTGAAATGAATTGTTGCTAAATTATTTCAAAATTTATCATAGTATTGTGCTCCAAATGTAATTTTAAATTCCTTTGACTTAAAGACAGAATTTTAGACCTTTTTGTGGACACAGGTAAAGGTACCTGTCATTCTTATATAATCAATGCTRAACAAAGATTAGATGCTATGTTTTGTTGCATTTTGTCACTGTTGGCAAAGTATTTGTCTGTGATGATACTCAAGCAACCTAAGAGGCAACTATATTAAAATTTAGGTAGTAATAGTGTAGTTGAAACATTCAGTAAAAAAATTTCTCTGACACAGTGCAATTTTTAAGTTCCACTTCTTTCCTAGTTATAAAATAGAAAGAGACTATGATGCGAAACAAAAAGCAGTTTTTAACTTCTTAATTAAAATGCCAATACATCATAGTGTTATAATAATATGTGAAGGTCAAAGGAAACATTGCCTTCTTTTTAAGACTTTAATTTTGATTCATCCACTAGACTGGTATCATATAAACTTCTACTTGAAAAACGATGAGTATTGATTGAAGGACTTGAACATTGAGTGCTTTTAATGTGACAAGTGATTATAACCCAAGMCACAATACAGAGTTCTTTTCTGACAAGTAACAGTTGAGACTGTTAATAGCTTTTCTGTCTTATGACAAAAGACACAGACACATTCAATGCTATTTCCTATACAACTGTTAAAAGCGGAAAAAAAATATTATTTTTGAAATAGACATGATGGAATGCCCATGATGGGTGTTTAAAATGATGTGAAAAGAACAATATCAAGACTTCAAAATGGTGAGTATGAGACTCTTACAAGAGTTAATAACAATTACACAATGTCTGGTCTTCACCAGAGCTGTCAAATCAGGGGTGACTATTCTGAACAGTCATGCCAGCAGCAGGATCCCAGTCCCATTGGTTGTGCTCCAAGATTCAGTGAGTGTTGTGTAATCACACAGTGATGGCCAACTCACCAGCCTGGTTAATATCACTGCATATTTAGGCTTGCATATATTTAGAAATAAAACAGATCTATATATAAAATGGAGGATCATAGCTAGGCATGCTTTTAATGCCTGTGGCTTCTAATATTATTTCAAATAAAAATCAGATATACACTAAATTTATTTTTGGAAGTAATTTTTTTAAAATAATAATTTAGGGTGGACTTTTTGCAAGTATTTTAATAATTACCTAGTATGAATTGATACTCCTATAATTTCCAGTTTTGAAATCATTCCCAATTCCAAAAAATCTATTGTCAAGAGTTTCTCTTTTATTAAAATATTGCTAGAAGGTGATGGGAATCTCAATGTCTCTTATGATAGAATTTAGTGAGTTTCATGCTGAAATATGGAGCAATTCTCTTGGAATGACTTGGTTTTAAGGGCAATGAAAAGAATAACAAAACTGAAGTACAGATAGATAGGAAATGAGGAATTATAAAATCCTTGTTTTACCCCCTCAATTAATCAATATATATTTTTTTAAAAAATTAAAAAAAATTGTCAATATGGAAAAATGGATGAGCTTTCCTATGCTGGAGAAATACAACTGAAAAGGTGCATAATTCATTCCAGTTCGACACTTCTTATGCAACTCAGAAACCCAGGTTGTTAACATTGAAAAGAAGATCAAGGAACAATGAGACAGGACAAGTGCCATGGAGAAAATTTTAGTCAAATTAAAGGACATTTGTGAGATCATCTCAAGTGAAAATACCTTCCCATTAATAATAATCAAGTTAGGACCAGATATAACAGGTCCATTTTTTTTGTATTGGCAGCAAATATACATACTGTATCACAGATAGTTTCTTCAAATGATTTTTAGTAATTTTGATTAACAGTTGTCTCTGACCATAGAACTGAGTCAACCATCTTTTCTCTATAAGGTTCCAATAGTGAGGCACACTGCTGTAGAGAAGCTCACGGGAAGGAATGGAGTATCATTTCCTAACTCCCTAGTCTTAAAATTCAGAGAAAGTACTTCAATCTTTGAATGCCTCATGGACATAGACAAACTGTTAGAGTGTTTCTGTGCACTCCAACTAGAGATCCCAAGCACCTACTGAATCTATGCAAAGAAAAGCACATACCTGCAGTGTATGCATAACATTATGAGATATCTGTCTCTCTCTCTCTCTCTCTCTCTCTCTCTCTCTCTCTCTCTCTCTCTCTCTCTCTCTCTCTCTCCCTACATACCTACAGGTTATCTTGTTGTTGTCCCTGCATGGCTGCAAGACTAGGTATTGTTGGATCCATGTCCTTTGACTCTGTGCCCTTCATTGCTGCATAAYAARTCATCATGCAGTATAGATGGGGAGGGTGTTGTACAGCATCTCTGTCTGTCTATCCATCCAACCATATATAGTTATAATTCAAGCCAACAATCTGCATCATTATTGCATGAGTCCCATGGGCCTTCTCTATCTGGTACAGGAAAGTATTCAAATTCTAATGCTGAATTGTTGATTGAACCTATTTCCAAATAGGTTCTCAAGGTGCTTAAAACAGAAACASTGAAATCTCTGAAACACATTAGTAGCATCTTGAATTAAGTTAGATAATGAGATAGCATTTCCAGAAAGTCTCCAAGTGCATTTCTCACAGTTTCTAATAATGAAAGAAAAATTATTTAGCATTTAGATGTAAAGGAATGAAAAATCTAGAAGCAGACAGACCCTTAATAACAAAAGGTTTACCCTTTTAATCTTCTTTGATTACACTGAGGGACTTCCAGGAAGCAAAATTTAATTAAGGTTGGTGCAGGTTTCTGTAAAAATTGACAGCTCTCTGATATACTAGCACCCTGGCTGGTGGAGATATTTTTTAGTTGTGTACACTAAGATACCCTTGGCTCYTCAATCACACAGGGAAACATTCCCATTTGTGGCAGTGCAGCTGCTTGACACCCCGTCTTATCTCTTTTTATTCCATTTGTCTGAAAGCTCTCCCTTTTGCCCGCCATTTCCTCAGGCTAGGAAATTTCTGCTCATCCTTTTGGGCTTGATTATCAGTAATTTCTGGAAGAATATTATACAGCTCCCCACCCCCCGGCTTTAGATTGCAAAATATGGGCATAACAACTTGTTAAATTAAGTGGTTTGTCCCAAACCACAGCTTGTAAGGTGGGGTGGTGGGCTGGGACTGAGTTTACCCTGACTGCCTCTTGCTGTCTTCTCCCCGGTTGGTGCTGTGTGATGAGCTACTATGCAGAGCTAAAGGGGCACAGGTCTGTCAATGCCTGGACTCGCAACCACACGAGGACAGTAACAAGAAGAGTCCTTCAGGCCTCCAGGTTAAGCGAGTGTCTCTTGCAACACATTAGCATGAGGGTTGGAATGTCAATTCTACCTTTCCAATTTCTTGGCCATTGCCAACTCACAAGTTATTTATCAAATCAAAATTCACAGTGAGATCAGCTTTCATGGTGAGGAAGGAAAACTGGAAACCATTTGCTTTTTTTTTTCTTCCTTGACTATGAGAGAAAAATGGTTTTGAGTGACAATCAATAGTGCTATCCACTGGCACACTTAGAACCAACCAACTCTGCCCCTGCGGAGGTGGGACGTCACCAGCCAACGTACTTGTCTCCTTTGCTCTTGGAGATGCCGACCAGTTTCTCGATGCCTCCCGCGTCCCGCAAGGCCTTGGCGTTCTCCATGTTCTTGGTGATCACCTCGTGCAGGGTGCAGCAGACGGCAGTCACCGTATCGTTGGACATGGCCTTGCTCGATGTGTTGTTGCTGTTGTTCCCTCCGGGAAGCCTGTGGACCAGGTCTCGCATGGCGTATTTGCCTTTGGAAAAGGAAACAGAGGGAAGAGTTGAGGAGAGGGCAAGCAGAGAAAGAAGGTTCAGRGAAAAAAAGAACAGAGGCAGCTGGACGCAGTAGAGTCACTTTCCCACCTGAGTGTTGACTATAGRGTGATTTCAAACATACACACAGAGAACACAGTGRTCCTCCCTCARAACCCATGGGGCATTGGTTTTAGAAGCCTCCTGTTCCGCCCCATGGTTACCAAAGTCTGGATGTTCAAATCTCTTATGTAAAATGGCACATGCACATTTTTCTTTGTATTTTTAGTCATCTTTAGATTCTTTTAGCTTAACAAAATGTAAATGCTATATAAATAGTTGCTACACTGTATAGTTTAGGGAATAATGGCAAAAAAA